ACAAAAAAAAGGATTTAGTAATCAATACCATCTTGCGGTTAGCTCTGGAAACGCACGTTGCTGCTACAAACATTCGACATTTGTTTATATTTTGAGGGATTTCGTGAGTTTAGGGTTCGTAAATTAAGTGTTGTGTGAAAAATCGTATTTTCATTGCATTCTTAATCCCTCTTATAAGGATCGTAAAGTTTTTCGAACGAGAAATTTAGTAAATGGTTTTTTATCATCACTATGAATATAGGTTACGTATTTAAAAGTGTCTAGTAATGCTTTGTCCTATAAAAAAATACTATTTCAATCATCCACACTAGCTTTATATCTGTTGAAAAAACATCTCATGGGGGTCCGTAATAGGGTCTGCAATAAGGTATACTGAGGTTATGGTGCAGTTTCGATAATGAGTATCGATTCACTGAGCCAAATGACATTAATTACGTTACATCAATTTTTAAATTACCCACTATATTTTCAGGCTTTAACGAAATTGATATAATAGTAAACTTCAAATGACGATATGTTGGACAAAAGAAAAGATATTCCAAACTTAAAAAAAGGTTTTAGAAGATAAGAGTGCTCCTTTAAGATACTGTACTCAGTTTTCCACAAAAAAAAATTGTTCAAGATGATATTGTACCTCAAAAAGAGCGAAAAACAGCATATTTTGAACTTTCAGGTCAGGATATTTAAAAAACTTGATGTGATAGAGTTATTATAAGGTCATATTTGAATTCACCGATCCAATATCTATCCGAAATAACTAGTCTCATCTAATGAACAAATTTCACGTCGGGCTGTACTATCGTTGACAAAAAATGCATTGTGGAGGCGCTAATTTCCCCACATTGGCTCTTCGTGAGTTCGGGAAATTAGATATTTGGCTGAGGTATCGCGATCCGCTCTTGCTGACGTTTGTCCAGGTGGATTCATTTTACATCTAGCGCGTGCTCGTGAATCGGTTGTGATTTTTGCGGTATTAACTAATTTCGCCTTTGTTGTTCGACTTCGTGAGAAGACTATTTTAATAGCTCTCCTACAGAGTTAGCAACAAAAGCATACAAATTTACGGTATCCTTAAGTCGATCTTGCTTGTATAAACCTTATTAAGACATAAAACTTACATAAAAATTTGCGCTTAAAATAGCAGTTATGAATTAATATCTAAACTATTTGCGCATTTAATAATTAAATCAAATAAACATGTTTTTCATAATTTTTTGTAAAGGTCTGATAAGAAATACATGAAGAGTTGCATGACAAACCATTTCTCGTACAGCTTCTTGTTTCACTTAAACAATTTTTATTCATATAATTTTGAAGAAAGAAAAAATGTAGTGAGGATATACGAGGTGTGACAAAAAAGTAATGAGACTGATTAAATTGCAGCTAAACAACGATTCCAGCATGTTTTCCATACTTCGTAACATTTCTGGAACGCTTCGACTAGGATGTCTGCGAGTACCCTCGTCATAGCCGTTTGGATGTCCATAATTGACTCAAAATGGGTTCCTTTGACCACTGATTTTGTTCGAGGGAATAAAAAAAAGTCACAGGGTGATATATCAGGCGAATAAGGAGGCTGTTGCAACACGGCGATCCCTTTAAATGCCAAATATTGGGGCACTTTGTGGCTGGTGTGGCACGGCGCATTGTCGTGATGAAAGATCCAGTTACGAGTGATGTCTGGGCGCACCCTGTTGACTCGTTTTCGCAATCTTTCGAGTACTTGGCATAGTAGTCTTGATTTACTGTTTGCCCCGATGGAACAAATTCTTTGTGAATGATTCCACGGCTATCCAAAAAGGCAATAATCATCGTTTTCACCTTCGATTTCCTCATGCGAACATTTTTCAGACGAGGGACATGAAGAGACAACCATTGTGAGCTTTGACGTTTGATTTCCGGGTCGTATTGGAGAAACCAGCTCTCATCGCCTGTAATAACTCAATAAACAGGGTGGGAGCATTTTCCACTTGTTCCAAATAGTATTCTGCGACGGTCATTGGATGCTGCTTTTGCTCCTCAGAATTCTTTGGAACCATCTTCGCGCACAATTTTTTCATCCCAAAATCGTCGGTTAAAATTTGTCAGACTGTTTTACGGTTCATACTCAGTTTCGAGGCCAGTATTCAAATTGTTAAACGCCGATTTTCACGGATTAGGGTGCGCACACACAGCCCATTCACGTCAGTCCGCAACTCGACTGGTCTCCTGCTCCGCGCCTCGTCTTACACGCTTTCACACCCCTCCTTATTCACATCCCTCTTTATGCCATCGAAACACCTGGGCATGGCTAAAAGCACTATCACCATGTACTTTTACAATTTTAGCGTACGTTTCCGAAGCTGTTTCGCCTAATCTGGCGCAAAATTTTATCGCGACACGTTGCTCTTGATTTTGTTTCTCCATTTTCGCGACGAGCACCACCAACACACGTCTATTCAACACGACACACCAGGCGAACCAAATAAGCTAGAGCGATGGTAAATATATCAATGGAGAGGGGAAGGATGTCAGGGAAGTGGGAGGGAATTTCAAAGTCGCAGATTTACCACAAGCGCGGCAATAACATCAGTCTCATTACTTAATTATCACACCTCGTAGGTCAAAATCGAAAAAATCCTTTTAAAGATGGAATTCTTTGAAATGTAAAAATCATAAAGTAACTGTTTGTCGGCTTCTATAGCATCTGCAGACTTTTATCAGGACTGAAATTGAAGGTATCGCCGTCAACATTAATTTTTTGTAAAAAAAAGTAACGTATCATAAAATTAGATCAATTTCAACATAAATGAGTGTATATTATCTTACGTAAAATGTAAATTACTAAATTTTGTATACACTATATGAGAATGTTAATGACTGGAACCAAGAAAAATGTTATAAGAGAGTTATTATATATGATTAGAACTACTTTCTGTTGAATTTTTGTAAAATGTGGAGATGGTAGAAAAAAGCTGTAAACCATGTCAAAAATAGCAATTTAAAAAAAAAAGACGTTTTGTAATGGAATTACTTTTATTTATATAAGTAATTCGCATATAACAGAGCATTTATCTTTTTCATAATAATTAAATTATTATACGTAAGATAAATAATCCCTATTCATAATGACTTTTTTTATATCTTTTTTAGTTTCTTCATGTTATCAAATATAGGTAGGAATCAAATAGCTTCGATTGTTTCCTATATAACCTGGCTCGAAGATTTTTTTTTGGTATGAATGAACGTGTGACGGCAGACAATTTTTAATTTTAATTTTTATAAGAATATTTTTTTTTTGTGTAGCATCTAAGCCAAGCACAGAACGAGAACAGTTGCTCAATAGCGAGGGGGACCGGAATGAGTGTCACGATAAGAATTTCCGTCCAAAAGCAATAAAATCCGTACTGCATCCGAGCCAGCGTTCTCTCACGCATGTGAAGAACGCATAGCCCCCTTGCACGTGTTTAACAGGCGTCAACATGTCGATGACAGGAGAGAGTCGTAAAACCGCGACTGCATCCTGTATGCTACTTTTCCCAATGGATTTTTCCTCCTTTTAAGATGCTCGAAAATATAACATTGAGATGAAATAAAATTTAAAATTATCCAAACGTAATTATTTAACTTTCGCAATACATCCCGGATAATTATAACTTCTCAAACCTCTTATCCAGTTCTCACTGAAGTACTGATTAGCTAGAAAATAAGAAAAATAGCGATAATCCAAAAAATAAAATTATATATGCGCACTATGTTGTTAAACGAATTTTTATTAGGAAATAATCGCCTTGTTAAGTTACATAAGTTTTTTTATATTAATACTCCAATTTAAACTTGAATAGAATTGCATAATTAGTGAATAATTTAATAAACTACTCATAAATCTGTACAATACAGCGTGCGAAATAATAAGATTATACTTTATTACTTATTTTCAATAGAAAATATATACTTATAATTATTTGTAATACTTATTTTCAATACAAATTATAATCAACTGTAAGTGCGAAAATACCTACAATATTGTCCCTAGTACTAACAGTAACTTGTAAGTTATCGAGTTTATACAAAAAAATAATTTTTAAGTTATTGTAAGCCCGCTTATTGGATAAATCTTGGTTGAGAACGGTACTCGAGGAGCCATCTCGCGAACCAAGGCCTGTACCTTTGCGTCCGCTCCTTGGATTTTCTCCACGCCCCCGCTCCAATTAGGGCCCGAAAACCCAGCGAGGAAAATGAGAAGAGACAAACGAGACAATGAACGCATCATCGCTTACTACACTCCTCCCGAAACGAAGACGCTGAGAGAGGGACTTACCATCCAGCCACCCCCAGTGTATAAAAAAAGCTGTGCGAGCCTCGAAAGGAGGAATGAAGAGAAAAAATCAAGTAGTGCTATCAGTGAGGAGCAGGAAGTCAAACAGCTAAGCGGAACGAGAAAACAAAGGAAATCAACTAATTTAAAATAAGGACGCGCAGGCCGAAAAAGGCGTATTATTCAATAAAAACAGTAAGCAAACGGAACAATTTTTATTTCCTTTTTTTTTAATCTTTCTTTCTTCTAATTAAGAAATAGCTCGTGCCTCCCTTTTTCTTTCTTTTTATCTGGAGACTACTTTTCATAGGCTCCAGGTATTAATTTGTTTAGGAAAACCCGGGTACTGCTATTGATAGAACCCGTGGTGCTTTTCGCCCAAGGATTACGACTTACGATCGGAATCTAACGGCAGAAGTATAGGCTCTGTGGCACTATCCTCCTCGGTGAAGTATATTTCTTGACAAGTGATCCACGCTAGTTTAGGCGAGAAATCGCAGTTCTGGCGATCTCGAAACCCTGAGACTGCTCTAAGCCTTAGGCGCACCTGAGCTGTGTCGTTTCCACGACGTCACAAACGCTTTATAATTAAATTATTATTCTATGTATCAAGACAAACTACACATGACATAATTCAAATATTTTTCAATATAATAAATAAGATTGCGATATATATACTATTATTAATTTTTTATATACCTACTTCAGTAAATTCAAGATTCCCAGCATCACCTAAAATGGATCCGTCATTTTGTTTATAGCCAGCATAACTTATTAACTGTTGATTCCATACACGGTAGTCATGTTTTCCATCTGTTCGTTGTGGAAAAATAGTAATAGCCGATCTGCTTACATAAAAATATTATGTTTAACAGATCATTCGATGTATTTTGAAGCTTTATCAAATTTCAACGTAACTATAACATGATTATAGTCATGTCGATAAATAATATCTTATCTAATTAATTTTTGTATTTAAGTACGCTTTTGCATCCTTATCTTCAAGGTAATTCTATCAGTTGTAGGTAAATGAAAAGATCAAGTAATGAGAATTATTCTTCACAGAGAATTCGAAAAAATTTGCACGTCGTGGAAAAAGTTATCTACCCTATTTTATCTATCAAAATTAAGCAGCACCGTATTTACAAACTGAACGATTTCTTCGGCAGTGGCTTATTCATATATATGTTATGCCTAGACAAGGAGGTGTTATGCCTATACGTAATAATGTTTAAAATACTGTCGCGTTGGTAAAAGTTGGATCTTAGTCAGGAGGTAAGCGGAGGTTGGTTAAAGGGATAGCGCCTTTATTACATGTAGTGTGTTTGGGTAAATAACTTAGTTTCTTACCTTGTTAGGACTGTGCTTCAGAAGAGATTTTATTAAACAGTCTTAGGTGTTTGCACTCGATTGAGATTTATTGTTGAAAGACAAGTTTATAATGCTTAGCAGAGTATAATTCCGGTTCTGAGTAGCCGGGTAGCGAAACTTAGAAATAATACAATAACTAAATTACTGAGTTACTACTCTTTTCCTGAGTGAGTGAGAATCAATATGAGTATGAGTAATCGCGGATCTTGATCCAGCCTTTTTATACCATAAGCTTATGTGCCCCTTCCCTTGTTTTTGCTAAATTAATATGCGGTGAGTAATATTCGCGGAAATATTATGGAGAACGTGCTTAGCCTAATCTATCTTGCTAGATAGATTTACAAATGTTCCCGGGAGCGATTATATGATAGGAAGTTAAATTACCGATACCCGATTAGTTACCATAATCCATCATGTGTGTTCTCGTGACACTTGATTAGTTATCATGGTTCGTCACGTACATTTTCTTAGTATCGACGTGGCATGCCTAGCCCTCGGAGTCCTTTGCTGATAAAGCAAAGGACTAGCGCTCTTCGAGCGCTGCTGTAATTATTCTATGCATATATATATTTTTTGTTTGTGTGTTGTCTCTTTTTTGTCATATTATACGAGTATATACATTTTTGTTTGTTTTGTTATCTCTTTTTCTTGTCTTATTATTCTATATATATATTTTTTTTGTTTGGTTGTCTTTGGCTTCTTTTTATATTTATTTATTTATTCAGAAATAGGAAGAATTTGGGAGAGGATTATAACAAATCAGGTGAACCTGCAAGTTTCTCTGAAACCTAAACAAAACCTCTTTACCAATGTGCGGTGTCATGTACGCAGCGGCGGCACAAATGGAACGGAGCTCGTCCAAACCCCTCATCTCCGTAGGTTTGGCTTAATAGGAACTTTACGTGTAAGTGTCCGTGTTGAGCTTCTCGGAAGATGTATTCGGTGAGCTGGTGGTAGCTCCAGTCTCTTTCACCGTCGAATTGTGGGAACTCGGGATGCTGCATGGTCATCTGAGCTTCCCGGTTCTTCCACCTTTGCATCAATCGGCCCACGATTGCTATTGACGTCCTGACCTTCAGAATCTCTTCCGGTGTCTAGGACCTGTTTGCCCTCTTGAGTGGTGGACCGAGTGCGGTGGATGCAATGCGCTTCATGGTGCTGATCTATGATATATCTGATATGTATAGGATATGATAGGAGGTATGTTTAGTTCTTTTATACCTTTCTTTTTTAGAAAGTAAAGAGTGGGGTGGAGTGTCTTTTCTTTCGGATTCTAGCAGTGGGATTACTTGTATGGCTATGGGTGGGGAGTGAAGAGTGGGTGTCGTAATTGATCAGTGGCCTAAAATATTTTACGTCAAGTAACGTCTGTGCAGATTTGCAGATCATTCTTATTTGAGGTGTTAAGGGCTGATTCAACTCTTGCATTTGTATATTTTCGAACTTATAGCCTTTGTTACTGCACACTCTATATGCGCACAGTATGCAACTTACTGCTATTACGGATGCGATAACGATTACAATGGTTACTCCTAACGTTAAATACGCGTGTAATAGATTCACACTGTCCGAGTGTTCGTATTTGTTTTAAAGAGCGAATGTTTTTTGTTCGGAAAGGTAAAAGGCTGCTTATGCCAGGTAGTTTAGGAAATGAGTCTATAGATAGTTCGAGGTTGGGATACTGTTGGACGACATGCTGTATACATTTAATGCATCGTATGGCGTATGGTAGTTTGTGAGGGCCAATGCTTTTGACGTAGACAAGGTTATATGATAATTGTTGTTATATGGGTGGGGCCCTATGACAATTTGTGCAAGTAGGTGAAGAGTTATGATTTACGTAATAAGTAACTTCTGCTTCCATTACGTTAGGCTTGTTATGCAATGTATTTTCAATACGAGGAATTTTGCTGGGGGGTGATTGTTCAATAGTGTTATTTTTGTGCATTTCTGTGGAATTTTACGGAAAGAAACTGATAACAGGTAAGATCTTTCGGTGTTTATGATTGTAGAGTTTGTTAGAAGCCGGTGGCTACTGCAATGTCTTGTAGTTACTTGTTGGTATCCTAAAAAAGAAAATAATGCAAAACAGTTGTTTTTTGTGTAATGTTCAGTGTTGTTATTTTCTAAAAGACTCTGATATGGGGAGGATTAAATTGCTTTTGATGCGATTGATGTCCAGTAGATTTTTTTCTATTTGTACGGCATGTAAGCGTGCGTCTTGTAATTTGTCGTAAAAGGTAAAATGGCAAACGTAACGTCTGATTCCATGTTTGAGGCCCTTAATGAAAATGTAAATAGCTAATTTTTCTCTCTGAGTTTCGTTTTCTGTTACTTCAAATAAGAAAATTCGCGCGGCCTTTCCCATTGTTGATACACTTAGTCTCTTTTTTTCTATTATTAAGTCTTCAAGTAATTTTCTTTTGGCTCTGTGATCCATGCATTCAGACATATAGTTGTTGATTTTTATGATTTGTTGATTAACGCTGGAATTTCTGGTTCCGATAATACTGGATAAATCTGTCTCTGTGTGTGGCTTGTTTCCTGAGTCAGTTGATGGTCATGTTTAATTTTAAGGATAGCAGTTCGTTCTTCAGGCTGTGTTGTCTGCGGGGCTTCCTTGTTTAGCTTGCCTGAGTTTGTTTCTCTTTCAGGTTTCCTAGCTAGGTAAAGTAGCAAGTTAGTTAAAGAGTTCCGGAATGCACCATCCAGGTGTATGCTAAAGCCATTGAGGGAATGAAGGACATAATAATGTATAATGGTATCAAGGACAAATTTAATTGCTCTAAAGATCATAAGGATGGCCAAAACAGCGGCGCTCGCTGATCCGAACGTAATGAATAGATTTCATAGAGATTCCCACGTGGAATTCGCAATACGGTTCAGAGTATTCTCGTCAAGTAGTTTAGATACGGATATACCCGGAGCTAGATTGGATTTTCCAGCGAAACCAAGCGCGATTTGATTAAGGACCGCATTCCGTTCTGTAGGAAATATAATAAACGTAGAAAGGTGTTCGACGTCGTTATATGTGTAGATTCCGCTTGTTGCCGTGTTTGTGGGGCTATTATATTCCCAACTTTGCTTGGCCTGAGGTTTGATTACGTGCGGAGCTTTTTGGCTAGTGACATCCGGAATAACCTTAACCCATGAGTCACCGAACTTATATATTACCGACATTTTAGTATCGCAAGCGGTTTTGGTTCCGTATTGTTTTATTATATGCGTATGAGGTGTGATAAACATCGGAGACTCACCGCGCGTGACCGGTAATTCTTGGTAGCACGTTTCGGCTTTTCTAGCTTTGACTTCTGCAGGTACGCATTTGATAATGTGTACTACTTTACCCGTCATCATGGCCATGTATCCGGGTTCTCTCATTAAATAATATGCTAAAAGGTCCGGGGATAAAGTGGCAATATTTAACGCATTCGTAATAACTTTTCTTTCTAATTCGCATTGCTGTAGTAATACGTCATGGTATAATTTTTGCAAATGATTTTTAATATGTTTTTCAACAAATAATATTTTTGAATTTACATAAGTGAAAAGATCTAGATCGTGCATATTTTTAACTCTGTTAGAAATGAAATATTCACCGAGCCGATTTTCTAATATGAATAATCTCGGGTGTTCTGTTTTAATAATTTCAAAACCGCATTGTATCATTTTACCGAGATCTTTGAAAGCAAAAGATATATCCTCAGAATCCAATACATAAAGTGGCTTTCGTTCATTACTGACTTTTGTTACTTTAGTGACTGGTCCTGAATATAGATTAGTATACTTGCTGGCTTGGCATGCCTGAGACTCGGTTCGGTCCCAGAATGCATACCCGAATATGCTATCAATGCAACGTTCTTCGGTAAATTGACATGAAGTTCCGGATTCGAGTTTAATTTTATTTGTTTCCAGAGTTACAGAATTAAATCGTTCCTCGAGTGATACTTTAACATATCCAGTAACGTGTACATTGCTGAATGTGCCGTAAGGTTCGCAGAAACTTCCCGCGTCAGTGCATGTGCCGTCTGGGGCAATGTATCCTGCTAACTCTATCGGGTGTACAGTTGTTTGATTTATTATTAAATTTTGTACTAGATTATCGCCGATCGTCATTATTCGATAAGAGTGCATTTTAAAGCATTCTTCTCGGGTTACTTCCTTAATGTATTCTGTTTCGGAAAAAGGGTCGACCATTCATAAGAGAGTGCGCTGCATGTTTTGGCTGATCTTTTGACCTCTACTTTGCAATAACGAACTTTTACAGTTGCAAAATCATTAAGTTGGAGGAGGGATAGTTCAGTTACAGTAGAATTGATTATCCAATTAAGAATGTCGCATTCAGTAATGTTTACAAGCGAGAAGCTAGTAAAGTTAGTAAAACGTTGAAAACAATCGTAGGCTATGAAAGGAGTAACTATTTTGAAGTATTGTTGGAAAAAGATGCTGAGAATTACTGCTTTTATCTGAAACA